ATATACAAAAGAGGTTTGATAAACGTTACATATGCATTCAATGCAGTTAAAAAGTTACCTTCCGAAAAAAACAACTTTCATAGTATCACGCATAAACATATCACGAATTGTTTTGATACTCTCTTTGAAACGTGTTACTTCTTGCAACTGTTCCTCTGGGACATTTCCGTTGTCATTTAGAATTTCTAAATTCAGCATATAATAATAAAATATCGACAACAAATTTTTCAAATTTATTACTTTAAAAGGAAGCTGAGCAAATCCTTTTAAAACCAATGGATTTCAAGAAAATCATGGACATTTTAATAATCGAATAGATTTTCCTGAAATTTCGTATAAATGTTTCTTAATTCCTGCAGCATGCAAATGTATGCTTCTTAATTTCTGCAGTGTGCAAATGCATACCGCCCTTGGAGAAAAATTTGAAGCCATATCTCATCAAATAATTAATCAACACAAAAAATACCGTTGTAGAAAAGTGAAAGATCCGTCACATAGGTCTCTAACTCGTTGTAAATGTCACCAATGCTAGTTTTGGCTTCTGTAAATCGCTTAAGAGGTTCATCGGTGCTCCGTCGATAGCTCATATCTGTATTGAAATTTTCTAAGAAAAGGTTTTCGAAATCAGAGAGTTGTTTAAAACTCATACTTTTCACGTATCTTTCTTCAGGCCTACAACTCTTCCATCCTCCCTTTAAACTCCGAACTATTCAAAAATTTATTGAATCATTTCATCCAAATGTGTGAAGTCAAGGGTGGCTTTCTTTTTCTTATCTATTTCATGATTAGTTCCTAAAACATCTCTCAAATAGTTCAAAAGTGTGATCTTACCTGACTTAATGTCCCGTGCAATTATCGGATGATATGTCGCTAAAGAACCAGACATGTCACTGTCGAAAAGTGATTTGTTACGCTCAATTTGTTTATGATCAATTTCTAAAATATAAAATAAGCCATTCATAAGGTAATTTAATATAAGTGCATTCCGGATAATTAATAAATACACATGAAATGTAAATTACTGATAAAATGAATTTGCAAGATTCACATAATACATAAAACGTAAGCATTGAATTTTGAAAAGATAGGATGGGATAGAAAAGGTAGAGAGAGAAAGTGAGAGAGAGAGAGAGACCTGAAATTATTAGTTAGTACAGCTTAAGAGTACAAGGAAAACATGTGTGGAATATTCCTCAAAATTGAGAACAATATAATACATCAATCATTCCTGATCCATCCACACCGGAACAATCCACTCATCCCGGATGATATGTTCCAGATAATCCAATAACTTCTCCCGGTATTGACACTTTTTGCCATCGTAATTCGACCTCCAACCTACTGCTGTTTCTTATCACTTGTTGAAATGATTGCTACAATTCTTGTCAACATCTAGTAGTCTTTCCTTTTTTTCTTTTTTCATCTCTTACTATATTACATAGCAAAAATCTTTTCAATTTTTTTGCACTCTTCTAATTTTGCATATCTTGCAATTCTTATCAATCTTTTTCCTATTATATTTCAATCCTTTTTCGATCTTCAGTAGTATTACAATATGTGACATTTTTTCTGTTTTTTTTTTAATTTCTGGGTGATGGTAAAGCTTTAATTTCTGATAATTATGATACTTTTGTATGATATCTTTTTTTAAAGTATAATATCTTTTATGAGTGTGATATCTCTTTTTTTCTTCCTATTGTCTTCCCTTTGTTTTTTATTTTTTGTTTTTTTGTTGTTTTTAATCTATAATATATACTAATATTAAACTTTATCTCTCTTTATTTCTCCTTCCAATTTGTGTTATTTTGTAGTATGTCTCTTGTTTAGCATTCATGCATACATAAACTTAAATTTCAGTTTCCCTGTGACAGTGGGACTGTGATTATTGAATAATTGAATGGAAGATCAAGATTCGGATGATGAGGTATGTATGAATATCCGACTCCTTTAAAAAAAAAGAAAGTTTTTTTGTTGAAATCAATAACTTAATAATCGAAATAATGAACTATTGGTAATGTACATTTAAGCATTCGATTTATTGAGAATATTTGCTCATTCATTATTTGCATTAAAGTTGTGAAAATTTAAATTAACTTTTATGTAGAGCTCTTTTGTTGATACTTCGAAGTACTTGATTATTTATGTGTAAATTAAATTAAAAATTTGAATTGGAGTTAAACTTTTCTTATTTGTTTCTTTTCTTAATTAAGTAAATTGGAAATTAACAAATAATGCTGGGAATAGAATAGTTAGGCTTGCTCTTAAATATTAAATTTGTTGTTTCGTTAACAATTAACTGTAATCTTATTGCAAATTTAGAATGCAAATGAAACGGCAACAGCAACAGTTATATGTCATGGATCCGTCATAGAAAGAGGAAGAAAATGGCGAATTGATGTTTCAAATGAATCTAACCGATTAAATATTCCGCAGGGTACCCAGGCATTTCGTGTTAGCATCGAAGATAGTATATTAATGAAAAACACCAGGAATATCCTCAAAGTTCTTGAGAAAAGGTGGGTATTTTCAGTTTTATTTCTGAGTTTAGCTAATTTAAATTCTAGAAGAAATTATTTGTCTAATTCTAATGACACCGTTGACCTATAGGATTTAAATAATCTTCGTTTTTTACTGTTTTGATATTATACGAAAATTTCATATATATATATATATATATGTATATATATCAATTGCATACAATTTTTGAAATATATAATAAGGCATAGTTTTCGAATCATACTATATTATTTGTGAAATAATGATTGATATCATTAATGAATTTATTGCTGCGTTGGGTTTATCGCTCTTAACTTATTTAATACGAAAAGCTTTCTTTTCAGTTTTTGCTGAGTCGTATTTCAGGTCTTCAAAACACAAAGTTAAAATCACGGAACAAGAACTTATCAATCATCTTTTAAGGTTAACCATGCCATTGTTTACGTTTACATTTATACATTAACTTATCAAGATGGTGCTTAATTTATTTGCTACTATCAAAGTTTCGACCTTAGTATGTGAATATTGTTAGACTATATAATTAGGCTAAAAAATGAAAGAAGCTATTATTGTCAAAGCTGATGAGTAAGTATTTATTTCATTTTGTACATTTCGGAATTCATGTTTATAATTACCATCGGCCTAAACAGCAAAATAATGCATGGGAGACTCCTTTTTAACACTAATAAATTAAATTAAAAGGATTCAATTCGTGATTCAACTTGTCATTTTTTTATTTTGTAATCAATGTTCTGACTTATCCCGCCTGTAGTTACATTGCTATTGGCAAAAACGCTATACTGGATAATCGGATTGTCTTGTTCTGCATGCTTTTGATATATTCCCATCATTCTATTTTTGGTTATTATTTGGAACCAATACTTTTACTCCACTTTATTTAATTTACTTAAAAATTACCACAGTGATTATTTCAGATTACTGGATGTTAATAGGAATTGTTCGTTTTTGATACCGAAACCATATGGTAGTTATGAATTAGATGGTAGTTATTGTCTCAGTGATGGAATCATAGAGCAGACCGAAGTAACAATATTTAATTTTAATTTTGTTAAAAAACGAAATAAGTTCGTGATTTTGATTTTTGTCAGATTTTTTGAAATACAGATTTCTACTAAGTTTCCGTTCAAGTACAAGTAGTATGAAAGAGATATTCTTAATTTCCATTAGAATTTATTGCTTTTTGGGAAATATAAGTATCTTTAGAAAACCAACAAAAAAAGAGATCACTCTTTCAGATTGGTACTTACGTCGAGCCATTTCTGGAAGCACATGCTCAACTCATAGCATTGATAGCTTTTAGTCAGAAAGACCAGGTTAATTCGCAGGTTGAACAAGTTCTTCAGGAATTCGTTCTGGATTTTTTAAGTAGACACACCCGAGCTGTTGGAGAACTTTACTATAACGATATGTTAAGTAAGCTTAATATTTTAGTTTGTTTTTATTTTTCAAAGAAGTCAAACTCGAGTTAATACCTTTGATTTTGAGATAGTTTCATGCAATATCTTACTGTAATATGATTTGTTCATGAAGTCACTAGAAAGTTCTTTTTTCCACCTGTTGTTTGATAGATGTAAAAACCAAAAACAAAGTTGTTAGTCTAGCTAGAAATAAATTTAATCGTTATCTTTTTGCTTGGTAGTATTTTGAGTTTGTAGTCAACATATGATATATAGTTACTTCTAAATTTTATTTATATAATTTTCAGACTTACGTACTCTTTTGCATTCAATTCGTAATGAACTCCTACAACTTTCTGTCGTGTATAATAGCTTGTCAGTGATTCTCAACACTGATATTTGGAATTATGGAACTGTCGATTGCTTTCTGGATCGTTTTCTCTCCACTACTCTTTATGCAGAGTTGAGGCCGCATTCTGTGGTACAGTTTTCTATATACTTGTTTCGATAGGTTAGTTTTGCACTTGAGTTTTTTTTCCTTTTTTTTAGAAAGAAATTGTTGGACGACTACAGCAAGCTGTTCTAGCAGTTTTTGGACGGTATTTTGATCGCTTATTCAGTACAGGTGAAATTGATCCCGTGCTTGAAAATGAATTCATTTTCCAGAGGTTACAATTCCTTTTAAGAAACTTTTTCTTAAGTACTGCTAATCGTCGTGAATTTTCAGTCAAATTTGAAAGGAAAGACATAATTTTCAACCTAAAACCAGAGTGATTCTGAAAAAATTCCAGTGTGAAAGATAATGCACTAATTCAAACAAGGAGGACGCGTTGTTTATTTTGGTCTAAACCTCTAATCAAATATGTAGAAAATGGTGCTTTGAATGCTCGTCGTTTACGCACTGGCAACTGTGATTATGAAGCACCTAATAGTAATCTCTAATAAATTAATTTAATTAAAATTTTAATTTGATTAAAATTTTTTTGATATCTTTGCCTGTTGATTCCCACTTATTGGTGATGTATTTGGAAATATCGAGATCTGTTCAGTTTTTGACATTTTTGCATAATATTTTAAATAAATTTAGTGATAGAGCGACAAATGGAAAAATTATAAAATAAATTACTAATCGAGTCAATAAATCAATTTTTACTCCTGTAGTTCTAAGTTTCTATCTCAGCGTAAATTTCGTTTCAGAATTTTCGGTTTACTTGAGAGAAGCTCTACGACTGAAAGATGATTGTTGCTTTATTACCGCACAAAAAATTATTCGAAGCATAGAATATGCATGTGAGAGATGCGCAAAAAATAATTCCTCTCTTCTTTTTCGCTCTGTTTTAGAAAACGATACATTGTCCCAAATCTTGAAAGAGATGGAGGTAAGTATAAATCATTTTTTCAGTCCGACTTCAATTTAGTTTTATAGTAATGCTCATTTGGTACGATGTTGGTTTTGCATGCTCGTTTCATGCCGAATTTATTGATAAAACTAACTTAACCGTTGCAAGCATGCTGAACATCATGAAACATTCAAGTTGTTTATTCATAGTGTTGTGTCATTTTTATCGTATCGAAATTTTCAGTCAGTTTATACGGGTTTTGCGGTGCGTGAAATGGCATTTGATTTATTTGGAGCAACGCGCAGTTCGCAGCACTGCAGTATAGTATTGTCGTTTCAGAATAGTTTACAGCTTTCTGGTTTTCCACCTGAAATTTGCGAAAGGTGGACTATTCGGTGTGATAGTGGTCTTTTGGATGATCTAGTAATAAAACCACAGGTTTTTTGATATTAATCATTATTCGTTCATTTTTCGAAAAAAGATATGACATTTGAAGGAATCTTTCATTTCCAAAAATGTATTATTTAGTTTATAGGTAAAGCTTGTTTATATTTGCTTGTATTTAACTTTGAAATCAGTTCTGCAAAAAATTGCTTTGAAGATTATTTCAGGTTCTGTCGTATTAAAAAAAAAAGAAAACGTAATAAACTATAACGATATTTGATAAACAAGTTTTAATTTTGGAGTTGATGAAATTTTTGTTTTTAGCTTTCCTGGCCAATGTATTATTTGATAGAGGAAAAGCTTGTTTCCACCCTTAATCTGTGTCTTCGTTTCTTGTTACGATTGTTGCAAGCGCAAGAGGCTTTGTCAGCAGTTCGAATAGATTGTATGTCTTCGGGTATTTTATCTTTTTATAACTGTCGTATTTGAGTTACCACCACGGCAAATCATAAGTTGTATTTCGTCAGCTGAATCTTTTGTATTATTTCAGTTCGGTTATTTATGTTTGCCCCAACTTTTGGAGATATTAAGCTTCTTTTTACAAATACTGGCAGATGACCTGTGCAATTTTTTCTAATAAGAAATCGTATTTTGCAGCATAATGTTTTTCTTGATATTTCCAATTGTAGAGAGTATTTTCAGTAGCTGTAACGAAGGAACTTCATATTAGTCGACAAAGACTAAATCATCTGATATGTTTCATCGCACAACCATTAACTGCAATATCAGAAATTTTTTTCACTCATGTATGTTTTTTGCCTCATTCTTAACAGGTAGGCAAAGGCGAAGTCATATTCTTCAGAAGAATAATAATGTTTAAAATCATGAATGAAGTGGAAATGTTTTCAGCTGCAAGCTATGTTGACGAAGAAATTTGCATTGGTAGCGCGATCGAAAACTCTGGAAGAAGCACAACACATTCTGAAAGACCTGAATATGCATCTTACCAATTTAATAACAAGGTAGGAATTTTGTAAAAGGGTTTTAAATTCCTAATAAAAATGGTATTCTTTTTTTTCTCTATTAATAAAAAGATTCAGAGAAATCTTATGATTCATAAATTTGGGAGAAATCAGTTGTATGGCACTTTTACAAGGAAAAAAAAAGTTTGTTCTAATGTTATCTTTTCCTTTTTTCAATTATTTTTATTTTTTGTTTATAATTTACTTGCACGCAGATAAATTGACTTACTTTCAGAAGTGGTTCCCGTGCTTTGATTCACGATGCTATAACAAAACTATGCGACCGAGCAGTAGAGGTTGAATTACGTTTGCGAATAGATGTCTTTAGTTTACACGACCTTGAAGAAATGTTAAAAGTTGTGAAACGAGAAAAAGATTTACTACTTGGTCTGGGTCGTTCGATGCATGGTACCATATTCACTTTACTTCAACCTCTGCTCACCTAACGGTTATTTGTTCCAAACTGTCTTTATTAAATACGGGTTTTTTTTCCTTGCGACAACCTTAAAATTGTTTTGTATCATGATCGTACTTTCTAGTCTTTTGTATCATTCCAACTCGTTCATTAATTACGCATTGAACAGATTCACATTTTATAAATCTCAAAAAAGACGAATTTCCACAGATTTTTGAGAAATACGTACAACTATAGATTTTCTTATGCTTTATGAAAGCAAAGCGTAAGCTGTTGATATTTGAGTCTTCCAAATTATCTGTATACTATTTAAAACATAACTGAAACGATTTCGAATAAAAGAAATTTCATATTGTTTATCTAAAATCCCTTAACGAACGGGAATTTAGTTCAGTTTGCAGTTGTATGAATTGTGCGGTCTGTAGTTATTCTTCTCCGTGGGAATATTTTATTTGCTTGTTAATCAAATATTCAAAGTAATAAAATATTCTGTATTCATTCCAGTGAGAAATATATTCACTTCGAACTTCCGATATGTGAAAAACTCTGAAAACTGCTTGTAATATGCATCAAATAACCCACATATTTCCACATATTTATTATATTCAATTAATTAACATTTTGGGTCTTCTCATATTCCAAATGAATGACTTAACAATTTAGACAGCTAATTAAATGATTGACATAATTGGAATAGAATAAATTAAGTGACAAAGAAGCGATTTAGTACATATGAGCACAAATTAAGTGACAAGGGAACGATTTAGTACATATTATCATTGTTTTGGTTTGTTTTTTATTTATGCATTGTGTCATTGAAAAATTTTTGAAAATCCACTGGTTCGGGGAGCATTTCTTTTTTTTTAGTAATTTTCGAACAGGGCTGTTCAACTTTCAGGTGCATGAGCAAATAAAATTTGCATAATCGACTAAATCAGTATTATGTTGGCAGTAAAGTAGGACGATAAAGCACTTGAATTGGCTTCTTTATATTTAATTCTAAAGAGGGAGAAAGGGTTTGTTCATTTGGTATTATTTTTCTTTTTTTTTTCCTTTATTATGGATAAAAGAAATAGAAGAATGAGCACCAGTGGATAATATAGTTCTTCAGGTAAGAAAAGAAAAAGAAAAGCATTGCTTTTAGTTGGCGAAAAAGAAAAAAGTAAGGTAAGATTAATGCAAATATCAACAATGAGTCATGCATATAGTTCCATTAAAATGCTAATACTTTTTGTTTCTAATAACATTTCTTGACATCTTTCGTGAATTTTTAAACTTAAAGTTTGTTAAAAAATGTTGAATTTTATTTTCAGGTGGTGTTTTCTTATTTGAACTTTTCAGTAAGTTTAAAAATTTGTTTAAAATTTTTAAGATCCTAAAAACGTCGGGAAAAAAAAAATTCACTTCAATTGAGATTTATGAATTCTCAATGCACTTAAACTCTTGACTGAAATTTTCACACTATGATACAATTAAAAGATGGTGAAAAAAGACTGTGTAAGATGAACTAAGCAGTAAATTGTGAAATATATCCTACCATTTATTTAAACATCAAAGAATGCGCCCTCGTAAAAGAAACAATTTTTCGGTTCACTAATTAATGTTCTTAAAAATTAATTTAATAGCTTTCCTTGCATTGACAAATTTTTGCATTTTCTCAAACCACTACTTATAACAATATCAGCTAATTAATTAACTAAAGAAAAAGGCATTTTTGTTGTATTCCCTTCAGATTTGTAAAGTTTTTCTATTTATTTCATTTCATTTTGATACTACCTTTCATCATCATTGTTATCCGTTCAGGTTTTTTCTGATACAACTTATCATCATCATTTCATCATCATCATCCATATTCCATGTTTTCATTTCTTATATTGCTCTTATCAGCATTATCATCAGTATTCGGTTCAATTCTGATACAATTTATCATCATTATCATCAGTGTTCCCTTTTCTTTCATTCACTTCTTTATTGTCATTCTAATTCATATCAGTTAATTATGATTTATGTAATTTAGTCAGTTTAATAAGGCAAGCAATAATATTTTCATCTAAAGCAGGACTTATTTGTATTATTCATAAAGATGTCACCCATTCCTGGGACAGCAGTAGCTGCAGTAGTAGTAGTAACAGTAGTAATAGTATTAGCAATGCAGCAGTACTAGTTGTGGTAGTGGTAGTCCTGATAATAGCAGTAGTAGTAGCAACAGCAGTTATGGTAGTAGTGATAACATAGTGATGGTGGTAGTAGTAATAGTAGTAATGATACCATTAACAATGATAGTCCAACCTCGTTTTGCATTTGAATAAATTTTCCCACTGCCATTGACTATAATTGCTGTTAGCTCCACCCTAGCAACCATCAAACTTCCACATTTGCAGTTTATTTAAAGTCGGTCAATCAATTTTGTAATATTCGTAAAATCTCTTTGGTTTTTCATTACCTTTCGTTATTTCAGTTCCATTTTTACCGTAATATCTTCTCATTTACACAGGTGCCATCAAGTGGACTCTTTAAATTGTCAATAGTATCGAATAATAGTAATGATTACAACTTGGAATAAATATTTATCAGTATCCTTTTTACTATTCATATTACTCATACAACACATTAAGGTTTGCTTTTTATCATCTTTGTCAAGTAATTAATTGATCAGTGAAAAGGCAGTATGAAGTTTAATTCAGAGATTATAGCTTTCATAAGTTCAAGCTAGAATAAGCTCCTATTATATCATTAGATGTAATATATAAGAGTCAGATAATATAACAGTGATGATTATAACGATTAATAACAATAATAATGATGATAATAATAGCGATAATAATAACAAAAATAAAATAATAGTAATAATAATAATAATAATAATAATAATAACAATAATAATAACAATAATAATAACAATAATAATAATAATAATAATAATAAT